CTCGGTAATATATGTCGTTGTCCAAAACATACACTAGCGCGCTGCCAGTCGGAGCAAGGCGTACTAACTGCAGGTGGGCGCCATTAGCCACTGGAAAGTATGTCCTGAGCACACCACAAGAAACACAATATATTTATAATTGCTTGTTTAATAGACGCTTTTTGAATAAATAACCCCTGTAGCCAAGGGTAATATGAGTATAACAACAGATGAATCTGTTTTTCATTGTAGACAAGCGAAATTAAATCGTTGTGTATTCCATTAGAACTGGAAATATCTAAAGAACTTGGTCTTATGTGCATTCTATTAACTCGATTAAAAGTCTGATTTCTTGACCTTAATTATGCCCACATTTGCCTCAGTTTCGTATTTAAATTTTATAGGTTGCTTTGAGTTAGCGTGCTCGCTACTGGACCCAAGGTTCGCGGGTTCGATCCCGGCCGAGGTCGATGGATTTTTAAGAGTGATAAAAATCCATAGCACATCTTCCTTCGGAGGGAAAGTAAAGCCGGCGGATCCATGTCGTAGATTTACGGCATGTAAAAGATCCTTGCGAGCATGATACGAGAGAAAAATTCAGCGGCAATTTCTCACCCAAGTCTCTCCTGATTCACTACTTCACTGCTAGATGGCTCTTGCAGAGAAATCAGGATAGAGTAGAAATTGTGCAGTCAGTGGGCTTGTCACTCACTACGCATAAATGCACGCTTCAAAGACTAAGAAACCTCCGAAAGGAGGCGGCAATGGCCCATTAATGGGTTAAGCTACTAATAGATAGGTTGGTTTGAAGTGGAACAAGTTTGTTTTATCACTGATAACTGATTAGGTATATTTGTATAAACTGACAAGTCTTTTAATGAATTACATAGATCTCACTGATTATATCTGAATGTGGTGGATTAACTCCTGGTCTATATGATAACATAACTGGTTCTCGTAGTACCATGTGAATCACCTGCAAGACTAATCGACTTCACAACACAAAAAACCATAATCGATATCTCCACCACAAATTTCCATGTATTTCCTTGTAACTGTGCAGGCTTACTATAACTGTAAATTGTGTTATTCCCTTTTGATACACTTAAAATTATTAACCCTTTAAAGCCCAGTGGTAACTATATGTCTCTCCTGCAAAAACAATTAGTAACAACATTTTTAATTTATGGGAATCGTATGATTCTCACTATAAACAGAGGTTATTTTCATAAACAGTATTAATAAATCGGTCTGTGTAATGGTGAAGTGTGGTGTTTTCTTCGCGTTACGGACTTAAATCACTAAATACTATTTAGATGAGTTTTGGTTTCAAAGGGTTAAATAGACATAGTCACTTCAAAAGCAACTTATGAGTTTTGTTCACATTCTCTTAGTTCTTTGTATCTATTATAAATCCGAAATTTATCTACTGATTCTTCTGGTCACTAGAATTTACTTTTAAATGAAAATTGTGAAGGACACTAACAATTTTAATATTAAAACTACGACTTGGACCTTACTGCATACATGCATACATCTGTGTAATATTTGGATACATGTATAAAGTATTCCGTATTCTTAGCCTGTTAGTATGATTAACTTGACTTGTACACGCTACACAGCGGCTACACGCACCTGTCATTGAGATCGTAGATAACGAACCTGGAGACAGTTGAATGTCGGAAACCCTAGCAACAGACAACAGAGGGCAGTAGATTAGTCAGTTGAGGCGACAAATATCAGACTCTTGTGATCACAATGTGTACGTATAGTCATAATACAAACCGCTTGCAGGTCATAACCAATCAGAAGGTAAAGTCCATCAGCCGAAAGTTCGTAGCTCGTGGCCCGGTACTCCTCCTGCATACAACAAAACAAAAATAATCTCATGTCATGAAAAATATCTGATTTTGATGCCAGGTGTTTTGTTTTAAATTATTACCAAAATAAAAACATATTAATATAACGTTACCATGCAACGGGTTTAAGATAATAATTTGCTGGGACCATTCTCGCATGACGCTGTATCGACTGTGGCATTATGATAGAGAATGCAGATTGGAAAAGATGTGGAAATAAGCAACCATGGTATAACCTTCGGGTCAGAATAATATGTAAACCGCGAGATATCAGTCGGCAAAGTTGTTAGCTACTGTCTGATAAACCTGTATTTAATTCCCTATCAGGATAAAGATTTATCTCTTCGATAACATTCCCAGATTGATTCTGGAGCCCATCCAGTAACCTATTCAGTGGAGCCATATTTCTACCCTCGCTTCGTACTTCATGGCGTGATTTTAAACAGAGATTCAATTTCACGTCTACCTTAGGTGTAATAATAGCAGTAGGAGGCCTATCAGCAGCAGCAGTAGTAGTAGTAGTAGTAATAATAATAGAAGAATAAAGTAACCTTCGTTATGCTGGTGTTTATTCATAAGAACTGTAGAGTACTATCTCAACATTCTATTGGCGAAGCTGACTAAATATGATGCAATACACAAGCCGTCGCATTAGGTCAAGGAACACCCAAAGTGAAATGGGACATATTTAATTTACATTGCCATGCTTTGTCTTGGGTTGTGGAATGACACAGTTGTCTCCATTCTAATCTCACAGACGCTAAGTTAGATTTACAGAATCCCATGATTTGATCTGTAATCGCAATGCACTGCTTTTATGTCTTGTAGAAATCACGCAATTGTTTGGAATGATAGCAAATGCGAAAGACATTCAGCTGTCAACACATGATTTACGGCATAGATTAAAGTAGCTTTAACTCTAACTACGATAAGCCAACCTTAGCCTCTCTTTTGAAATCAACAAAAATGTACACAATTAAGGATCTGTGTTATGCACTACATATTTATGTTTGGTAAACAAATAAATAACTGAACGCGTAAGGAAGAAGCAGTGTTAGTATGAAAGTTATATCTTCGAAATCATTGAACAGATTTGGATGAGGTTCGGTGTAGGGGGTGAAAAGTAAAATTTGTCTTATACATTTAATTTCGTCCTGTATCGGTTCAATATAATTCCACGTTTTTGAAGCTAAATCGAACTTGTATTTTTTTGACGGCTCAACGTACAGAATATTGGGAAAAAATGTAAAATATAGATCTCATTAATAAGTAAAACTTTGATTTGAATAATTTTGATATAAATAACGAAACATAAAAAAAATGTTTTACGAATACATATATTTCTATTAATACAGAAATACGACGTTAAGATTTCAGCGGTAATTAGGCTATAATTTTAGTTTTTATGGGTACGAAATTTGGGGTGTTTAAAAACAAATTTTGAAAATTTGGATATAATAAGGAGAAAGCAACAGTATGTTGGAGTTAATCACATAATGAGGAGGTTCAATTTTGTTTATAGTTTTGATAGTATTTATCTTATTAGGATGATTAATTCAACGAAATTTATATAACTTTTAACAAATGCGATATGCATGATTGAAATCGTGAGGCAGACTACGTGGGAGACCTACACATAGATGGAAGGATAATATTAAAACTAGTTTTAAAGCAATGTAATGGGAGGATGGGGCGGGTATATAACTGACTGATGAGAGCCCAATTCTGAGCTTCTGTAAGCATGGCAATGAATCTTTGGCTATAAGCTGAAGAAATATAATCTTCTTACAAAGACACTGCACAATGGAGAATTAATAAATTACACTAAAAGTAAAAAAAAAAGGTCAGGGTATTATCTGTGATAAATTCGGTTTGATACACTAATGTTATAATTTGCTTTGGTTTGTAAAGCTTCTTGGCTTTATCAATTTTGGTTTACAAAATCCGTAGATGAAGTAATAATTATTTTCAGTGTTTATTTATTTGTAGTTTATTTAGCGAAGCTTTTGAGTAGCTCGGACTATATAGCGAGGAATGACAGGATGATAGTGAATAATGAATTGGAAAGGACATGGAAGGAAGCGATTGTGGCCTAATTTAAGACAATTTGCCTGGAGGGACTGAGGAAAACCACGTTAGCCGATTGCAACCCGGGACCTCACGAATACTCGACTACGACGTTTGGTGTTGTGG